TCTGGGGTGTCTGTAGAGGCCAAAAGAGGGCATCTGCAACTGAAGAGGAGCTAACTTACAAGGGGTGGTGAGCTACCTGACAAACTGAACACAGATTCTCTGGGAGAATAGCAAGTGTTGTTAACCACTGAACCATCTCTCTAGCCCTCTTACTTTTTTTTTTTTTTTTGAGACAGGGTCTCCCTGTAGCCCCAGCTAGCCTGGAACTCACTATTTGGATCAGGCTGACCTTGAACTCACTGAGATCTGCCTGCCTCTGCCTCTCAAATCCTGGGATTAAAGGCATGCTCCACCACACCTGGCACTAGCCAGTGCTCTTAACTGCTGAGCTCTTAACCTCTCTCTGAGCCCCTTGCTTTTGTTTTCTGAGACACAGTCTTGCTATATAGTCCTTGCTGGCCTAGAACTTTCTCTGTAGACCAGACTAGCCAGGAACCCATGGACAAGCTTTGTGTCTCTGCCTCCCAAGTTCGGGAATTATAGGCATGGACCACCACACTCAGCTAAACTTTCTCTTTCCTAATGGAGTGATGTTGGAGGTTTGTTTTGTTTATTGAGATAGTCTCCCATTGTGGCCCAGGTACAATGGGACTGACTATGGAGCCCAGGTTGGGCATGAATTCAAGACAATGCTTATGGTAATCCTCTTGTTGCACCCTCCTGAGTTGTGGGATTATAGACATGTACCACCACTCCTGGCTAAGAAAGGTTTTTTTTTAATTTTTTTTCAAAAATTTATTTATTGCATGTGTATGAGTGTTATCCGTGCATGTATGTAGGTGTACCCATATCATGGAATGCCTGAGGAGGACAGAAGAGGGTGTTGGATCCCCTGAAAATGGAGTTACAGACGGTTGTTAGCCACCATGTGGGTGCTGGGATTCCAGCCTGGGTCTTCTGTAAGAGCAGCCAGTGATCTTAACCTCTGAGCCATCTGTCCAGACCCAGAAAGGTATTTTAAAAAATATTTTACTTATTTTTATTTCATCTGTATGAGAATATTGCCTGCATGTAGGTAGGTGCACCTATGTCATGCAATGCCAGCAGAGGTCAGAAGGGGGGCGATAAATCCCCTGGAACTAGAGTTAGGAACTGTGGTTAGCCCCCATGTGGGTGCTAGGAATCGAACCCAGGTCCCCTACAAGAGCAGCTAGTGCTTTTAAACTGCTGAGCCCTCTCATTCTCCGGTCCCAGAAAGGCTTATGTAGACCAGGCTGGCCTTGAACTCACAGAGATCCACCTGCCTCCCAAGTGCTGGGATTAAAGGCATGTGCCACCATGCCTAGCCAAGAAATGCTTTTGATATAGATTTAAGCATGGGCATTGAGAGAAGGATCAGCACTTGATAGGTGAAGGCAGGAAAACAGAGCTCAAGGCCAGCCTAGGGTACACAGTACATGTGCAATGATAGCCACAATAACATGTAATAGTAAAAACTAGATGTAATGGTATGTTCATATAATGGAGCTGATTCTTACAAATAGCTCAGGAAATATTTGTCTCATAAATGACTAATTATTGCTACATGAAAAAAAAATCAAGCTGTGGAACCATCATATACAGAATGACCCTATTGTTAAATGAAGACAAAAACCAATATGAAGGGCTCAGTGGTTAAGAGCACTGGCTGCTCTTCCAGAGGACCCAAGCTTGGTTCTCAACACCCACATGGTGGCTAACAATTGTCCTTAACTCTAGTTTCAGGGGATCTGTCACCCTCTTCTACTCTCCTTGGGTACTGCACACATGATGCACCTACATACATATAGGTAAAACACTCACACACATAAAATAAAAATAAATTTTAAAATTATTTTATTTATTATTTTTATTTTATGTGTATGAGTGTATTGCCTGCATGTTAAGTGAGTGAACCCATGTTGTGCAATGCCACAGAGGTCAGAAGAGGGCTTTGGATTCCCCTGAACTGGAGTTAAGGACGGTTCATAGCCACCATGTGTGTGCTGGGAATCGAGCCCAGGTACTCTGCAAGAGCAGTCAGTGCTCTTAACTGCTGAACCATCTCTCCAGCCCCCAAATTATTTTATTTTTAAAAAGAAACTGGCTATGGTGGCACATGCCTTTAATCCCAGCACTCAGGAGGTAAAAGCAGGTGATCTTTGTGAATTCAAGGCCAGCCTGCGTTTACATAGCAAGTTCCAGACCAGCTGGAACCATAGGGAAAAACTGTCTCAAAAAAGAAAAAAAACCAACAACAAACAGCCAGGCATGGTGGTCCACGCCTTTAATCCTTCAAGGCCAGCCTGGTCTACATAGTGAGTTCCAGGCCAGCTGGGGCTACAGGGAGAACCTGTCTCAAAAAAGAGCAAAAACAAACAAACAAACAAACAAAAAAGCATAAAACACGCAGCATGAAGCCAGCATTGGTTCCCTGTAATCCCAGCACTCAGTAGGCTAAGGCAGGAGGATTATTGAAGATTTGAGGCCAGCCTAACTACACAATTCAACGCTAGCTTGGGCTACAGGGTAAGACACTGTCTGAAAGAAAAACACCTTTCTCCCCCCACCCCCCTCCACAAAAAAGACCAATATGTATTGCTATATTTTTTTTGTCTGGTTGAGACAGGGTGTCATGTAGGGTCAGTTGATTTCAAACTCAATATATAGTAGAAGAGACTGGCAAATTCTTTAAAATTTTTTGTTCTTTTACATTTAGTGTGTGTGTGTGGTGTGGTGCGTGTAGGTCAGAAGTTGGTGTTCTCCTTTCACCTTGTGGGTCCCAGGGATCCAACTCAGATGATTGTCAGGCTTGTTTTTTTTTTTTTGGTCTTTTTGAAGCAGGGGCTCTCTGTAAGCTCCAGCTGTCTCGGAACTCACTATGTAGACCAGGCTGGCCTTGTCAGGCTTGGTAGCAAGTGGCTTTACCCGTTCAACCATCTCCTCAGCCCACTGCTTTGAACACTTGATCCTTCTGCTTCTGAGTGCTGGTATTACAGTCATGTGACACCATACTTGGTTTGCTTTACATTTAAGTGTCTGTGGTTTGTAGTGTGTGAGTGCATGCTTGTGGAGGCCAGAAGTGTAGAGCAGCCAGTATCTTCCCTTGTAGCTCTTTGACTTTTTTTGGGGGGGTGGAAGGTATGAGACAAGGTTCCCCTGTAGCCTCTCGATGGCATAGAGATCTGCCTGCCTCTGCCTTCCGAGTTCTGGGACCAAAGGTGTGCGCCACCACAGCCAGCCTCTACCCTACAGGGTCTCCCACTGAAGTTAAAATCTCACTTATTTATCTAGGCTGGTCTGCCAAGGGAGCTCTAGGGATTTGCCAGTCTCTGACCACCCCTGGAACTGCAGACATGTTGATGCTGGGATCAGAACTCATCATCAGGAACAATTTAAGGACTCAGCCATCTCCTCAGCTCCATTATACCCTTTTTTTTTTTGGTCTTTTTGAGACAGGGTCTCCCTGTAATCCATCTGGCCTGGAATTCACTATGTAGACCAGGCTGACCTTGAACTCATAGAGATCTGCCTGCCTCTGCCTCCCTGAGTGCTGGGATTAAAGGAGTGTGATACCACACCTGGCTCCATTATACACTTTTATAAAGACACACAGACACAGAATAAGCTGGGTGTGGTAGCACATGCTTTTTTTTTCCTCAGTCTTTTTGAGACAGGATCTTCCTGTAGCCCCAGCTCCTGGAACTCACTATGTAGACCAGGCTGGCCTTGAACTCAGAGAGATCCACCTGCCTCTGCCTCCTGAGTGCTGGGATTAAAGGCATGCGCCACCACGCCTGGCTTTTTTTTTTGTCTTTTTGAGACAGGGTCTCCTTGTAGCCCCAGCTGTCCTGGAACTTCTATGTAGACCAGGCTGGACTCCAACTCACAAAGATCTGCCTGCCTCTATCTCCCAAGTGCTGGGATTAAAGGCGTGCACCACCACACCTAGCTAGCACACGCCTGCCTTTAATTCCAGCACTCTGAAGGCCACGGCAGGCAATCTCTGAGTTCAAAGCCAGTCTGGTTTACACAGCAAGTTCCAGGCCAACCTGAGTTACACAAAATTACCTGGTAAGGCCCTGTAAGGCCCCTTGTCTTCCCCCCCCCCCCCCCGCAGCATGCCTAAAGATAGTGATAACTTTCTTTGATAGTGAAACTGTCAAAATCCAGAGACGGATCATGGCTTGCTGGAGTAATCAGAAAAGCTTTCCTAGATAAATAAGGTTTGAAGATTTGAGGTTAGAGGATTCACTTAGATAACTGTAAGAACACTACTTGTATTTGAAGGATGGCAAGGACTTCTGGACTAGCAGGAAAGAAGCGTGGTAGTGGAAAAACCAATATTAGGTTTCTGAGTAAATGTAGAGAAAAGTAGAAAATGCAGAATTTTAAGAGTAAATTTGCAGTAGTGCTGCAGTGTGGGATTGGAGGATGGTTAGCGCCTAGACTGCGAGTGTCCACTTGGGGGTGCTGTTTGAGAACAGCGGTCGACCTAAAGTAAGGTGAAAGGACTGTGCAGCTGGTAGAACGTCAGACAAAGAAAAACTTTCCGACATTTGCACAAATTAACTTGGCCTCCGAGAGAGACAAAAAACTAAGCCCTGCAGTACGCCTAGAAAGCATACCAGTCAGCCTCCGTTCAGACTACTATTCCCAGGAATCCTTGTAGGAGGTCAGGGTCTTTTTTGGGGGTGCAAGAGGGGCTCGCCACACGGCCTTCTGGGATTTGTAGTCTTGCAGTGTCCTTCGGGAGTTGTAGTTTTCTTCCCACAGTCGGCTGGGCGAGGCGGTGCCGGCGATTAGAGCAGCGCTGGGTGTTCAAGGGCCAAGATGGCGGCGCGCCGGGGACGGAGAGACCGAGTCGCGCCGCCTCCGACTGGGGGCCTGGGTCCTGACCCCGGCGGTGGAGTCCGCGGCGGCGGCTGGGGGAGTCGAAGCCAAGCGCCCTACGGGACCTTGGGTACCGTGAGTGGCGCGGAGCAGGTGAGAGGGTGGCTGGCGGCCCGCTGCTGGCAGCAAAACGGCATGTGCCGGGCGGTGACACGTGGACGCCACAGGAAAGGGAGGAAGTACTTGGCGTGAGGATGCTGCGGGAGTCGGGTAGGGCTGAGAAAACCCACGTCGTTTGCTAGGGGTGCGCCGGCCGAGGCCGGACCCCTGGGAACCCCCGAGGGACAGAGTCGGGCGTCGGAAACGTGGCCACTCCTGCGGCGTCGGGGATTCGGAATCGGAGTCGAAGGCTAAGACTTCATTCTAAGGATGCCGAAGGGGATTTCACCAGCTTGGCGCCGTAGTTCCTTTTTCGGAGCACGTGGGGTGATGGGGGGCGATTTTCCCGGGAGAACTTGTCTGCCTCTCCCTCCCCCTAGGCGGTGCGGGCGCCCACGTGGGTAGGGTTAGCCCGCGGAGGCTGGGGGTGGCGCGGGGCGCGGGTCCACGTGGGGGCGGGGAAGGGATGTCCACGTGGCTCTTGTCCCAGGCTGTCCAGCTTCTAGTATCCGCGCTGTAGCCGCACTGCCGGGAACTGGGTGTGTCTCAGCCGCTCCCGCCATCTCTGGTTTAAGAGCTGGGACCTCGGGCCTGGAGGTAGGTAGCGGGCTGCTGGAGGCAACTTTAATCGGAGGCTTGGAGTTTCAAAAGCCCTTTTACATGGATCTGCAGCGCGTTTCGATAGCAGTTGGTGGACTTTCCAGATGTTCTTAAAGTCGGTTTCTTAGAAATAGCAGCTTGTGTGTGATGCGAAGGTTAGAGGACTGAGGCTAAAGAGCTGCAGAGGAGGAGTTCGTGAAGGCTCGGTCTGACCGGCTTGGGGTGGGTTGTGAGTCACTGGCGTTTAGTTGCCTGCAGTCCTGCTTCATTGGCGATTCAAGGGGCTTTGGGAGTGTCAGCATATACCTGGGAGAAGTTTTAATTTTCCCCTCTCAACTTTTTCATCTAGCCTCTTTGGGAGAGATAGTTAAGGCCTGCTCTTGTGAACTCAAACACAAACTGGAGTGGTCTGTATGTAAGGCTTTCTAGAACTTTTAAGTTGGAGATTGTTTGAGAACTACTTACTATTAGTTGAACATTTATTGGATGGGGGAGAAAGGGGGGGCGGGGGGGCGGACCTTCAGTTGTTAGAAAGGTTTTATCATTATTCAATTGGAGGGCTTCTGAAAATTCCCACCGCGGTTGGCAGTGAGTGAGCAGGAATTAGTTGAAACTGTTCTCTTTTTCTTAAGCAATTAAAACCGAGTCCTTGACAGCATACCGGCCCCGCCAACCCCCACCATTAAGTGGGAGTTGGGCTGAAGGCTTCCTGGTTTTGTCAGGTCCAGCAGAACAGTCTAGGGGAGAATGGATTCTGGGGCATGAATTTAAGATCAACCACCCTTTCTCAACTTTGAGATGATTACATCTTGTTGTGGGTGGTGTTGCTCACCTTTTTGGGGAGAAGTGGTTAGGAATCCAAAATCCAGCAGTAACAGAATTAAGTGGTCAGATAACCAGGTAGTTATTAAGATGCAATATATTTAGTTTACATGTATTGCTAAACCAATGTGATCCTGTGTATATGACACTATCCTTAAAAATATGAAAATAAAGCCGGTCATGCTGGGGCACGCCTTTAATCCCAGCACTCAGGAGGGAGAGGCAGGCGGATTGCTATGAGTTCGAGGCCAGCCTGGTCTCCATAGTGAATCCAGGACAGTTGGGGCTACAGGGAGAGCCTGTCTTAAAAAGACCAAAAAAAAAAAAAGAAAAAGTTTCTGTCCGATTTTGAATTTTGGAGGAACAAAATTGATGTGGGGAAGTCAGAGTGCCAGAGGTTGGCTCACTTTTGGCTTAGACTAAGCCCTTGGATGATCTTGACCCCCTGGGAACTATCCTGTTTGGGGATTGTGAAGGATGGATGAAGACATGTACAGAGAGATGTCTCTGTCTTGAGCTCCAGCACCTGCCTGAAGGAGGTGGAGATGAGTGGTTTATAGAGCTATTCATGGTCTGAGATTCTGGCCTAGTGGTTGGGACTCTGGAATGGAAGAGGCAGGGCACATAGAGATGAAGGCTTCTTGTTCACCTATGTCTGTTTGCTGAGCCAGGTGCCATTCAGCTTCTGGTTGTAATTACAGGATTGTGAGGACCTGGGAGGGGTCAGTCACTGAAACCTGCTGCCTTTTCACTTCATCTCTGAGCCTGGACTCCTAAAGTGTCCCTAACCAGTCTTTCCTCTCCCTGGGCTCTGCAACTCAAACTTTTTTTTTTTTTTTTTTTAAAGGATTGAGGTGGGAAGGTTAATAGTCACACCTGTTGCTTTTTTTCTGTTGAAGGAGGTGAAGTGCCCAGTTTCCCTTTGCTGCAGAAGGGAGCCTGGCTTGTCTGTTTGATCCTGTTCTCAGGTCTTTGTACCATGGCTCCAAGAGTGAATACATAGATAGGGCTCTGGCCTCACCAGTCCCAATTTGGGCCTTGCCCATGCCCTGTCCCGCTCTTGACAGGTCTGGGCGGGCCCTGCTTTATGACAACTGAAGATATTGCTAACTCATAGAAGAGTATGAGGTAGGGCCTCTCTGCCTAGGGAATCAAGCTTTCTCTTTGGCTGCCATCTGGTAAGGATGGTGAAGAGACTCTTAGAACTTCCATTGACAACCTGGATAGCATATTGTTGTGTCTGTAGGTGTATGTCAGTGATAGAGTGTGTCTTAGAGTATACAAGGTATGAGTTCAGTTTCCAGCACCCCCCCCAAAAAAAATAGAAATGAGTGAATATTAGTTGTATATAAGACATTGTAAGACATAGTGGATAACTGGGAGTATAGGCACATATAAATTTTTCTGTGATATACAGAAGAATATAAGTGAATATAATCCAAAGTATTATTTGTCCCAAAGGAACTGGGGATCTATTTTTATTTGCTTATTTTTTTGAACCAAGGTCTGGAGCTTGCTAAGTAGACCAGTCTGGTGTCCAACTCACAGAGATTCTCATGCCTCTGTCTCCCATGTACTAGGATTAAAAATGTAAGCCCTGGTGATCTTTTTTTTTTTTTTTTTAACCTTTATTATTGTGGCTGGGTGTGGTAGCACACACCTTTGATTCCTGCAGAGGCAGGCTGATCCCTGTGAGATTGAGACTTGCCTGGTCTACATAGTGAATTCTAGACCTGCTGGGGCTATAGGGAGATACTCTTTCAAAACAAACGAAAAACTAACTTTATTTTGTGTGTGTGTGCTTGTGAATACACATGGAAGTCAGAGGACAACTTTATGGAGTTGGTTTTCTCCTACTATTATGTAGGTTCTAGGGGTTGAACTTAGGTTGTCAGACTTGCACGAGGACTTCTACCTAAGCCATCTCATTGGCTCCATCTCTTTCTTATGTTCTTCATAGTTTAAAAGTCTCCCATGGTCCCAACTGTTTGTGGATGGAGTCCAAACTGTTCTGCCCAGAGCACTGCCATTCTAGTTGGTGCTTTTGCTTATAGCTTATACCTCTCTGCCTAGCTAGTCTATAGGTTTGGTGATTGTGGGGCTGCTGCTGTTCCAACTCATTGGTGGAAGACTGGATCTCTGGTTTATGGAGTATATCAATTAGCTGTCTCCCAGAGGTCTTGCATCTTTCTAACACATTTTCTTTTGCTTCAGGTCCATGAGGAGAGAGATGAGTCTAGCTTTGTCAGTCTATCTCGACTGGGCCCATCTTTGAAGGAGAAAGACTTGGAAATGGAGGAACTGATATTGCAGGATGAGACACTTCTGGGGACCATGCAGAGCTACATGGATGCCTCTCTCATTTCCCTCATTGAGGATTTTGGGAGTCTTGGAGAGGTAAGCAGGGGCAGGCCTTCAAAATCTTCAGACGGGAATCTTTGCATGGGATGTTCCACTTCAAGTTCTTGGAATTGTTTTAGACATGGCTCTGGTCTTTCAGGTCCTTCACCTACTGGATCCCAAGTCCTTGAAAGATTTTTTTTTGTCTGTAGGTGGCATTAGCCTGCAGACTGTCAGATTATGGCCCATGTAAGGGTTGCCCTCAGTTTGGATTATAGTCTTAAGGCCTTATCCATTTTGGGTCTTTGACCTACATATTCAAAAGGTTCTGATCTCTGATTTTGAGCCTAATTCCAGCTTAGCCAGGATGGTTTGCCAAGCGTCCTCCATCTCACCTGAATGTCTGAAAGTGTGAAACTCAAGCTTAAGACTCAATTCTAATAAGTCTCTGTTGGCACTAGAGAGTTCGAAGATGGTAGATGAGATTGGAACCCAGGCTTCCTGGTACCCAGATCCTTCTTGCTGACAAATTCAGCTGAGTGAGTCTGGGAGATTAACTCTCTTGGCATCCAGTTCTTTTTGACATAGTAGGTTATTAAGAGATCTTGGTGGGACCTCTTCTTTCTGGAGCAGAGCAGGTTGTCACTGGAGGACCAGAATGAAATGTCGCTGCTCACAGCTCTGACGGAGATCTTGGACAATGCAGATTCTGAGAATCTGTCTCCATTTGACAGCATTCCTGACTCAGAGCTACTTGTGTCACCTCGGGAGAGCTCCTCTGTGAGTATGGGACTGGGGGAAGGGACATGTGGCACTAGTACAGAGGTTATAACTATACCTGTGGGCCTGTTAATGTAACTGCACAAACTGATTTCGGGTCTTTTTCTTCCTCTTAGCTACACAAGCTACTCACTCTCTCTCGGACACCCCCAGAATGTGACCTCATCACTCCAATTGACTCATTGGGGCCCAGCACATGCAGTAGTAGAGTGAGTGGGGTAAGACTGACCTGGGGACCCTCAGGAACTCACAGGTCGGGGAGCATGTGGGGACAGTCTGGAAAGCACTTTCTTTAAGAAAACCCCACCTGAATCATCTTCTCTCCTGCAGGTTGAGATGTCTCTTACAGATTCTCCTTGGGATTTCTCCCCACCACCTTTCTTGGATACTTCTTCCCCTAAGCTGCCTAGTTGGAGACCCCCAAGATCAAGACCACGCAGGGGTCAGTCCCCTTCTCCTCAGCAACGCAGTGATGGTGAAGAGGAAGAAGAGATAGCCAGTTTCAGTGGTCAGATGCTTCCTGGGGAACTCGACAACTCTGTGAATAGCAGCTCAGACTTCCCCATGCACCTGGCCTGCCCTGAAGAAGAAGAAAAATCAACAGCAAAGGTGGCAGTGCCAGCACCTGGTGATGAGAGCATCTCCTCCCTGAGTGAGCTGGTACGGGCCATGCATCCATACTGCTTACCCAACCTCACCCACTTGGCATCACTTGAGGATGAACTTCAGGAACAGGTAGATGATTTGACACTGCCAGAGGGTTGTGTAGTGCTGGAGATTATAGGCCAGGCAGCTACAGCTGGTGATGACTTGGAGATCCCAGTTGTGGTACGGCAGATTCCTCCTGGACCCCAATCTGTGCTCTTGGATGATTCACTTGGGGCTAGTCCTGCTTTGCAGCTGCTCATGCCCACCGTGGAGTCAGGGACAGAAGCTACTGTGCCCAAGGTAGCCTCTTGCTCTGAGCAAGAAGAATTGTCACTGAACTCAGCCTGCTTATTGGAGCCTAGGGAAATCATGGAGCCAGTAGTACCCAAGGGGCCTCCAAACCCATCTGCCAGTACAATTCAGGGTTCTCAGAGAGTTCCCAGAAAGGGCAGGAAGAAGAAGAGCAAGGAGCAGCAGCTGGCACCCTGTGTGGAAGGCTGTACCAGGAGGTTGAGATCATCCTCTCGGGGGCAGTCTATTGTCGCTGTGGAGATGACCTCTCAGGCAGGCAACTTACAGAACCAGCCTAAGGAAGAACTGCAGAGAGAGGCCGGGCCTCCCCAGAGTAGGGGGAAACCCCGGGCTTGGGCTCGGGCTTGGGCAACTGCCTTGGAGAAGACTGGCTCTGGCAACTTGGAGAGAAGTGCTGGACAAGATAGTCCTGCTGAAGAAGGTCCTGTAGACCTCTACCCCAAGCTGGTTGATACTATCCAAGCCAACCCTGTTCTCTCATTGAATGACTCTGCTCAAGCTGACTCCATGCCAGTTGACTCTGTTGAAGCTGATTCCACTGCAGTTGACCCTGCTCTAGCGGATTCTGTACGTGTTGACCAGGCTTCAGCCAGTACAGAGCTGGTTGGGCCTCTCCCAGCAGACTCAGTGCTGACTGGCTCAGTTCGGGCTGACACAACAGCAGCTGAACCTACTGTGGCTGTTCCCCTTTCAGATAACTTGTCTCCAGTTGATGCTATCCCAGTTAACTCAGTGTCAGTTGACCCTGCTCCCAATGCCCTGGCTTCAGTAGATCCTGTGCTAGTTAAGTCCAGACCAACTGACCCTAGACGTGCTGCAGCATCAGCCCAGGGGAGTCTACTTTCCCCAGAGTCCTCAGAGCGCCCTAAGGTGGTCATCCGTGAAGTCAAGGAGGTTATAGGTCCTCAGAAGGTGGAAGGTAGTACCAATGCTACAACCCAGGAAGCCAGACCTCGGCCTCTCAGCCTTTCTGAGTACCGTCGACGAAGGCAGCAAAGACAGACAGAGACAGAAGAGAGGAATTCCCAGCCCCCAGCTGGCAAGTGGCCCAGCCTCCCAGAGACCCCCATAGGGCTGGCAGATATCCCTTGTCTTGTCCCACCTGCCCCAGCCAAGAAGACAGCCTCACAGAGAATCCCTGATGCCATCCCAGAGGCCTGCTTTGTGCCTGTGGGCGTCAGCCCTTCTAGTCCCGAGCCATCTGCAAGCAAACCTCTGGTTTCAAATCACTCTGAACAGGTGCCATCCCATGAGATGCCACTGTCAGCTAGACCTCCTCCTCCTGCTTTGCAGTCCATGTCTCCTGCTGGACCTATCCCTCCCACAGTGCCTACTCCTTTGTCTTTTCCCCCAGGAATACCACCCATACTGCCCCTTCCTTCTAGTGGGCATGGAGTACCTAGTCTGCCCCCACCACCTTTGCAATCTAGTCTTCCAGTGTCTATGAGACCGGTACCGCCTGACCGTTATACTCACTATGTCCCTGTTCCACCCTGGCCTTGTTATTCCCCTGTGTCCCCTTCTGGCTTTCCTTGTCGGCCCCCACCACCAACGGTGCCCATGGTGGCTGGTACTTCTGGTACCTATGCTGTGCCCCCCACTTGCAATGTGCCTTGGGTACCCCCTCCTGCACCTGTCTCACCTTACAGCTCCAGCTGTGCCTATGGGCCCATGGGTTGGGGCCCGGGGCTACAACAACCTCCATTCTGGTCTGCTGTTTCCCCACCTCCTTTGTCTCCAGTTTCTTCTGGAAGAGGTTTTCTTCCACCCAAGGTGGAGCCCAGTGGCAGTCCACCTGGCCCTCCTGAAAATGTGTGTCCTGTGCCAGTGACTCCTTCCCTTAGTTCTGGGCTGGCCAATCCCATAGCTCCACAGATAGAGCCTACCAAGCTGGAGGTCAAGCCAGTGCCTGAATCTCCCCAAATGGTGTCCAGCAAGGTGTCCACCACGGTGCAAAGCTCCCAGATCAAGGCTCCACCTTATCTGTCTGCTGAAGATAAGGTTGTAGGGGAGTCTGCATCAGAGAGGTTAAAGCCTGAGGCCCAGGAGAGCCGACCAAAAGAGAAGCCCCTCCCTACAGCTATCAAGTCTGTTCCCATACCAAGACAGGGCACTGTCCCAAAGCTGCCTGCTGTTCATCCAGCCCGTCTAAGGAAGCTCTCCTTCTTGCCCACCCCACGTACCCAGGGTGCTGAGGATGTGGTACAGGCATTCATCAGTGAGATTGGTGAGTGACACAGTGCAGTTGATCTGTGAGGGTGTAGGGGTTGGCTGGTAGTGTTGCTCACAGAGTAGTATGAACAACTGCCACGAAGCTACCCTTTGTTGAATTTTTTGGTATGTTGAGAGGTGGTGCTCTGGTTTTATTTGAATCCTTGTTTTGTACTACTACCTTGGTTCTCTTAGTTCAGTGGGCAGAGCATGTAAAGGGAGAAGTGAGTTGATGGGGGCATCCTGGGACCTGTGGACTCAGCTGATGGGCTGGTTTTTAATTCTATGTTGTATGCCTTCATAGGAATTGAAGCATCGGACCTGTCCAGTCTGTTGGAGCAGTTTGAGAAATCAGAAGGTAAGGGAACCTAGGTCGTTTTGTTCTAACTGTTGTTGTTGATGCTTTCTTTAGGTTCAGCCTTGTAGTTGCTTCATCTGGGCTAGAAGGTAAGGGGCAATTTCTGCCTCTAGAATAGGTGCTTAATGGGCACAGGGAGACAACAGTCATCTGGAAGAGTAATAGAAGCCAGGGATAATGGTGGTATAGCATAAGTATTTAAAAGAGTAGATGAGGAGAGGGAATGCAGGTACGTTGAGATCGGGGACATAATCATAAAGGGAACTAGCTCTTCAGCTGAGCCTTGAGAGACAGGTGGGATTTCATATAATGTATATGGTTTATAATGGTAGACAGAAGAGGTATAGGAAGGATCCCATAGATGGATTTTGAAGGCATTGAGGAGCTCAGTTTTCTCAAGACAAGGCATGGCTTTTGGTGCTGTGGAGGTTACTATGTTCTCTTCTGAAGGAGCTTATGGACTAATTGGGGAGAAGAGTCTACACAAATGACTCATTGGTAACAGGTTTCTGCAGTACAAGGCAGAATGTAAGAACTGTGAGGGAAGAAGGCTACAGGCTGGAGATGTAGTTTAGTGTTGGAACCTTGGCTTTACCTGTGCATGGTGCTGGGTTCACAAAGACAAGGCTTTATGACCCTTGACTCCTAGGCTCATCAGTTTGGACTCTTGTCAGATTCAATGGGAAGTGTGGGTATTTCTGAGCAGAAGAGAAATAAGTGGAGTTATCTGGGTACCACTGGAGGAGACTGGATCTCTGGAGAGCCCAGCAGGCAAAATGGGCTTACTCCTCCTTTGGGTCTCAAAGCAAGCCCTTCTATGCCACCCTAGTTTGGTACACCTGGTTGGGCTTTTAACTAATATGATTTCTTTACAGCCAAAAAGGAGTGTCCTCTCCCGGCTCCTGCTGACAGCTTGGCTGTAGGAAACTCAGGGTAAGTGTGGAGACTGAGCGAGTTACCCTACAGCTGTTGGTCAGCAGCCGGCCAGCACTCCAAGAACTTCCGCTGGATGCCTCTGTTGCAGAGATGTTTTGTCGACTCTAGAGTCTCTTCCATTTCCCTAAATTCTGCTCTGTCACCACCAGGCACTGTTTTGGGTGGTATGGTGGGAGGGTATTAACTGCCCTCCAGCTGATTCTAGTCTTGAATTTCAAACGTCTTGGAGGTGACTTTTATCTTTCCTTGGCAAATTATGTTTTCAGGAATTTCTGTGCTTCCTTTAGTAAACTTAAAGCTTATTCAGTGCTGGTGATAGGGTCACTTAAAGTAGGGGAAAAATAATAGCTGGGGCTTCCCTGACTCCTTGAGGACACAGGCACCTGAACTTCTTTGTTTCCCAGCATTCTAACATTATCGTTCTTCCCATTCTTGGTCTGCCAAGTATGTTCTCCCTCCATACTAGTTTGAGGCTGATTTGAGCTGGGTAGGCAAGGGGCTATTGAAGGTCTTAGCCAGCCTGCTTCCTGATATTGGGCAGAGTTGAGTAGACCCAATCTACAGTTTGGTCACTACAGCCCTTCTGTGCTAGAAGAAGACTATAGGGCAGTTTGGGCACCCCATTTTCTCTGCACATACCTATCTACTGTTGTGAGGAAAGTAGATGTACAAGATATTGAGGAGGCAATGAACCAGGCTTTCCCTTTTCCCCCTTACCAGCAGCCTTGACACTCCCCAGGAGAAGAGACCCCTAGACCGGTTACAAGCCCCAGAACTGGCCAACGTGGCAGGTGGGTTCAGGTTGGGGAACTCTGGCTATTAGTACAGCAAATGTGCAATACCTGCTGTGCATCAAGTGTTTATAGGCATTGAGGATACAGACATCTGATCTCCAACCTTGTGTTCACAATCTAGGTTGCAGATGTGTAAACAAATGAGCAGATTGGTTATCAGAGGTGATGTATTAAGGCTATGAGCTATCGGAAGGGGGGACAGTAAGAGAAGGGTTGTATAGAATGTTAACTAAGTTGAGCTTGAGAAAAATCACAAATAGCAGCTAGATGGTAGATTTTTAGGGATTGAGGGCATCCGAGGCAAATGCAGCAATGTAAGTGGCTTGGTTTGACTTGGAGTATAGAGGCTGATTAGAATGGTCAGCAGTCTAAAAGTAAAAGATGAAGCTAAAGTGATAAATGAGGTTCGATTATGAGAACTTTGAATCACATGTTAAGCTGTTTGGATTTTATCCTGTGTATTGAAGAAACAATTGAAAAAGATTTATCAGATTGGTTTTTGGGTAGTTTGTCTAGCAGGGATGTAAACAACAGGTGTGGAGTTGGAAGGGAAGTAGACAAGTTTATTGCATGAGTCTAGTTAGGTACTGTTGGGTGGAGGGGTGGATTTAAGGTGATTAGACAGAAGCTGGTCAATAGGTAGGTTTGGGTAGCTAAGCAGAGAATCCTAGCCAGCTGGGTCTTTTATGGAGAGGTGGTGGGAAAAGTTGGGGCTTAGCGTACTCTGAGAAATGTGATCTCTTGAGCCTATATCTAGTATCTGGAAGTATAGAATTGGATCTCACCCTGCTATCTCCATCCTCCCTCCCCCCCACAGGGCTCACCCCTCCAGCTACCCCTCCCCACCAGTTATGGAAGCCCCTGGCTGCTGTCTCACTGCTGGCCAAAGCCAAATCTCCTAAGTCCACCGCCCAGGAGGGAACCCAGAAGCCAGAAGGAGTTACAGAGGCCAAACATCCATCTGCAGCCTGCCTCCAAGAAGGGGTCCATGGTCCTAGTCCAGTCCATGTGGGCTCTGGGGACCATGACTATTGTGTCCGGAGCAGGACACCCCCCAAAAAGATGCCTGCCCTAGTCATTCCAGAGGTGGGCTCCCGATGGAACGTCAAACGCCATCAGGACATCACCATCAAACCTGTCTTGTCATTGGGCCCAGCTGTTCCCATACTTCCATGCACAACTGCTTCTCAGGAGCCACTTGATCACAGGACTAGCAATGAGCAGGCAGATCCTTCAGCGCCTTGTCTTGTCCCGTCTAACTTGCTGTCTCCTGAGGCCTCACCCTGCCGGAATGACATGAACACTAGGACTCCCCCTGAGCCCTCAGCCACGCAGCAGTCAGTGCGCTTTTACCGAAAAGCCTGCAGGTCAGTCAGCCCCCCAAGCCGGGGCTGGCAGGGCCGCCGGGGTCGCAGCAGCCGTTCTGTCAGCTCTGGGTCCAACAGGACCAGTGAAGCATCTTCCTCCTCCTCCTCATCGGCGTCGTCCTCATCCCGGTCCAGGTCCAGGTCCAGGTCCCTCTCCCCCCCCCACAAGAGGTGGCGAAGGTGAGCTTTGATGGCCTGTTAAGAGTCTTTCCATTTAGGAAGTTCGTGAACTCTCTCTTGTGGTTCACTTTGAAAACTGGGTCGACTTTTAGTCACTAAGGCTGAAAGTTTCTGTCTTTGGCTTTTGTCTTCTCTTTTTGTGGACTGTTGGAGGCAAGCTGTCGGACTATCCTATGATGGAGTCTGGGATATTCCTGAAGTCTTCTGCTTTCACGAGATGTGCCTTGGGTAGACTGTTCAGACTTTGGCCTTGTCTTGTGATTACATGCTTATCAGTCCTCATACATGGTATTTTCTTGGTGTTATGTAGGATAGTAAATTGCAATGGGAAACAGTTCTTCCTGTAATTATCTGTTTAGGAAGTGCCTGGAACTGTTCCTTGGGGTATCACTGTGGCCTCATCTATTTCCTAGCATCATGCTTTTTTCAGACTTAAGTTTTCTTAATCTGTCAAAAATTCTAGGCCAGACATTGTGGTGCACACCTGGTTATTTTGTTTGATTGTTTTTTTTTTGGGTTTTTTTGTTTGTTTCTTTGTTTGGTTTTGGGGTTTTTTTTTTTTTTAGTACTTTTTTTTGATACAGGGTCTCCCCAGATGGCCTGGAACTTGCTATGTAGACCAGGCTAGTCTCAGACTCACAGTGATGTGCTTGCCTCTGCCTCCCAAATGCTGGAATTAAAGGTGTGTACCACCACGTCCAGCTTTGTGGTGCACACTTTTAGTCCCAAGACTCAGGAGGCAAAAGCAGGAGATGGCTTCCATTTTGAGGCCACCCTGGTGTATAGTTCCAAGATAGTCAGAGCTACACTGTGAGACTTTCTTTTTTAATATATATTTTTGGTATTTTATTTATTATTTTTATTTTATTATGAGTGTAACACCTGTATGTATGTGAGTGTACCTGTGGCATACAATGCCACAGAGGTCAGAAGAGGGCTACAGATTGGAACTGGAGTTAAGGAGGGTTTGTAGCCGCCATGTTGGTGCTGGGAATCAAACCCAGATCCTCTGCAAAAGCAGTCTTAACCACTGAACCATCTCTCCAGCCCTGAGGCTTTTTTTTAAAAAAAGGAATTCTGGGGGCTGGAGAGATGGCTCAGCAGTTAAGAACACTGGTTGTTCTTGCAGAAGAAGACCTGGGTTCAAATCCCAGCACCCACATGGCATCTAACAACTGTCTATAACTCCAGTCCCAGGGGATCCGACAGCCATTTCTGACCTCTGCAGGCATTGCATGACATGGGTACACTTACCTACATGCAGGCAATTCACACATACACATAAAATTAAAAAAAAAAGCCAGGCATGGTGGTGCACGCCTTTAATCCCAGCACTTGGGAGGCAGAGGCAGGCAGATCTCTGTGAGTTCAAGCCTGGCTTGGTCTACATAGTGAGTTCCAGGACAGCGGGAGCTACAGGGAGACCCTGTCTCAAAAAAGACAAAAAAGAAAAATGGCCTGGCGTGGTGGCACACGCCTTTAATCCCAGCACTCAGGAGGCAGAAGCAGGTGGATCTCTCTGAGTTCAAGGCCAGCCTGGTCTACAAAGCGAGTTCCAGGCCAGCTGGGGTGACAGAGAGACAGAGAGACCCTGTCTCAAAAAGACCAAAAAAAAAAAAAAAAAAGAACAAACAAAAGGAATTCTGGACCTGGCCTGGAGAGTTGGCTCAGTAAGAGCGCTGGCTGAGTTTGATTCCCAGCACCCAACATGGTATCTCACAACTGTTTGTAACTCTAGTTCCAGGGAATCCAATTCCCTTTTCTGTCCTCCACGGGTATTACATGACATGGGTGCACCTATCTACATGCAGATAATACACTCATACACATCAAATAAAATTAATAAATGAAAAAAAATTTTTTAAAGGAATTCTGCTGGGCGTGGTGGCACACACCTTTAATCCAGCACTGAGAGGCTGAGGCTGGTCAATCTCTGTGAGTTCAAGGCCAGCTTGGTGCATGTAGTGAGTTCCAGGTCAGCTGGGGTTACAGGGAGACCCTGTCTCAAAAAATACATAAATAAATAAATAGTAAAAAAATACTAAAAGGAATTTTAAGACTAGGGATATGACCCAGTGATAAGAGTGCTTGCCTTAGTGTACACAAAGTCCTGAATTTCATCCCTAGCATCTCAAAAAAAAAGTGTCTTTTAAGAAGGAAGGAGGCTGGGCGTGGTGGTGCACACCTTTGGTCCCAGCACCCAGCAGGCAGATCTCTGTGAGTTCAAGGCCAACCTGGTCTACATAGTGAATTCAGGTCAGCTGGGACTACAGGGAAACACTGTCTCAAAAAGACAAAAAAAAAAGGAAGAAGGAAATATAAGGACCAATGAGATGCCTTTTTCAGCATGTAAAGGTGCATGCTGCCAGCCTTGGTGACATGAATCTGATCTCCAGGACCCATATGATAGGAGACAATCAAATCCCAAAAGTTCTCTGACCTCTGCATATCCCCTGTGGCATGCATGTGCCCATACACAAACACTAAGTAAATAAATCATGTGTGGGTTTTTTTTTTTTTTTGGTCTTTTTGAAGCAGGGTCTCCTTGTAGCCCTAGCTATACTGGAACTCACTATGTAGACCAGGCTGGCCTTGAACTCACAGAGATCTGTCTGCCTCTGCCTCCCAAGTGCTGGGACTACAGGTATACGCCACCATGCCCGGCTAATCTTGTTGTTTTTGAAAAGGAAAAAAAAGAATTTGTGGGGTGTGTGTGGTGCTGGGGTTGTGCACAGTTGGCATAGTGCCTAACAGTGCCTAACATGCATGAAGCCCTGGGTTTGATCACAGCACCATATAAATGCAATGTGGCAGTACATGCCTGTAATCCCAGTACCAGGAAGATGGAGGCAGGAGGATCAGAAGTTAAATCATCCTTGGCTACTACTGAGTTCAAGGCCAACTTGTGATACATGAGATACTGTCTCAAAAAGAATTTTGGATTTGGAAATGATGCATATTTCCAGAAATGGCTGTGAACAGTAAGTAGTTTTGGCAGTTACCTCTGCTTTTGCTATGGTTAGAAGTACTCTCTTTTAGACATGGTAGGAAAGCAGTTTTAACTTAAGAGTACTTTGCCTCAGCACCACAGATAGAGTGGCTTGTCAAAACGAGGGCTAGCCCTTTATCTCCTTGAGTCTACATTTATTTTCCTTTCTGTTGTGATTTGTTAAATGCTCTCCCATTTTCAGTAGCATGGTTGAAAATATGCAGTGACTACAGCTTAGTGGTAGAGTTTTGGCTAGTATGTGCAAGGCCCTAGATGTAATCTGTAGTGCTGTAAATAAAAAAGTATCCGTGTTAGCATGGTGGCACATGTCTATAATGTTAGTGCTGGGAAGACAGAGGCAGGAGGATCACATGTTCAGGGCTTTCTTCCTCACGGAAATAAAAGGAAAATGTGATGTAAAACCGCAAAACTTACGGGTTTTGTTGTTTTTTTTGAGACAGTCTCACTATGCAGTCCTGGCTGGCCTTAGTGTATAGACCAGACTGGCATCCAACTCACAGACTTTCCCTTGCCTCTGCCTCCCCATGCTGGGATTAAAGGTAGGTGCCACCATGCCCAACTTTGCAAAACTTCCGATGTATCTAAATTTTATGAAGGGGGAAGAGATGGCTCATCAGTTAAGAACACTGTCTGCTCTTGCAAAGGAACCAGGTTTGGTTCCCAGCACCCATATGGTGGCTAATGGCCATCAGCACCTCCAGTTCCAGGGGATCTGACACCCTCTTCTGATCTCTGTAGGCATTGTATGACATGGGTGTACGTATATACATGCAGGCAGTATACTCAGATACATAAAATAGAAATAAAAAAAATTTATGAACGGTCTCCATTTGTTATCTGTGAAGTAATCTAGAGCTCTTGCTCTTTAACGGCTGTGCTATCCCTCCAGCCCGAGCTCTTGCTCTTTATCTTTAGTCCTGAGCTTCCTAAGAGGGAAGCAAGGCTGAGCCTGGCTGAAATGAGTGAAATAAATGCACCATTTCCAGCATTTCTGCATACCCTTTATTCTAGGTCCAGTTGCAGCTCCTCTGGACGTTCCAGAAGATGTTCTTCCTCTTCATCTTCCTCCTCATCGTCCTCATCCTCATCCAGCTCCAGAAGCCGGTCTCGCTCCCTGTCCCCTCGCCGGAGAAGTGACAGGAGGCGGCGGTAAGCATGAACATATGTTTGAGGGCAGTGCATCTAGGATGCAGGTGCTTCAGAGTTCTAAGTCTTGAGTTTGTCTGGGGGCTGATGGCACCTCTCTTGTCAGGTACAGCTCTTACCGTTCACATGACCATTATCAAAGGCAGAGAGTGCTGCAGAAGGAGCGTGCAATAGTGAGTAGAGGAGCAGGTTGTGGGAGAGGCTTGCCCTGTGCCATGAACTCAGAGTCATTCACAGCTGAGACTCTGGCTCACAGAGTATCATTTTTCTTTGATATCTAACAGGAAGAGAGAAGGGTGGTCTTCATTGGGAAGATACCTGGACGCATGACCCGATCAGAGCTGAAACAAAGGTTCTCTGTTTTTGGAGAGATTGAGGAGTGCACTATTCATTTCCGTGTCCAAGGGTAAGCTTGGGTTTCAAGGTTAGGGGAAGTCTTTTCTGTTACATTCATATACCATGGTTTCTCTGTCTTTCCTCTTTCCTCTGTGTGCTGGGCTGTGTGAGGTTACCTTCATTTTTGTAATCAGAGGGTTGGCCATTGGGAAAATGAGAAGTCCCATCTCTGTACCCTGCAGTGCTGAGTCTGCTCTGATATGTGCCCAAATGGCTCACTCTTTTCTCCAGTGACAACTATGGTTTCGTCACTTACCGCTATGCTGAGGAGGCATTTGCAGCCATTGAGAGTGGTCACAAGTTGCGGCAGGCAGATGAGCAACCCTTTGATCTTTGCTTTGGGGGCCGCAGGCAGTTCTGCAAGAGGAGTTATTCTGATCTTGGTGAGTGGAAGGGGAGAGCCTGAGGCTTTGACATAGATGATACCTTCCCCAGAAGGGTTCCTAACACTTGAGAATAATGCTAGGTGACTTAACCGTATGACATACCAAGAACTTAAGGGCTGGGATGAGAGGGGAAACATCTCCCATACCTCTCTCACAGACAGGGTAGTTTTGTTCCATCTGCTATTTGGATGGGAGATGGCTGGCAATTTGAGAATCCTGTGCTTGAGAAGTGTGATAAGAGACCTTAATATTTGTTCCTTTCTCCCTTTGTAGACTCCAATCGAGAAGACTTTGATCCTGCTCCTGTGAAGAGCAAATTTGATTCTCTTGACTTTGACACATTATTGAAACAGGCCCAGAAGAACCTCCGGAGGTAACCCTGGGCACTTATCCCCCCACCCATTTTCTTTGGAGGTGTCCGACCTCCTCCACCCCCCTCCCCCACTCTGTGGAGGAGAGCTGCTAGTGTGGAGATGACTGTTTTATAAAGAAATGGAAAAAAGTTAAATAAAAATGTGGTAAATCATATTTTTAGGTGTTTTTTTTTTTTTTTTTTTATAAACGAGTATTGGAATACATTAACTTGCATTCCTGGGTAAGATGGGGCTGAAGGAAATTTCTGAGTTGCTATGCAGACTAATAAATGTGAACTAGAGAGAAATCCCATGTGTTACTGTGCTTCTATGCTAATGTCAAGTGTATTCAGTGAGCACAGTCAGGGATGTGCTTGTCTTCATTGAGTTCCTAGAGCCTGTCTTCTAGTTGTGTACAAAATCCCATTGGATTTGAAATGTGGCTCCTCAGGCAGGTCTGCATCTGTGAAATAACTAGGGAAATACTTCTCAAATATGAAAGGACATTTGAAGCATTTATTTTGAGGTAGGGTGTCATCCAGCCTGATCTCCAGTTCACTTTGTAGCTGAGGGTGACCTTGAACCTCCACTTCCCAAATGCTGGGATTACAGGCATGTGTCACCACAGCTGGTTTTTGTGGTGCTAGAGATTGAGTATAGTGCATGTTAGGCAAGCACTATATCAACTGAACTACATCCCCAGCCCTATTTATTTGTATGTGTGTTCAGGTATCTGTGTGTGTGTACATGTGGAGGCCATAGGACAACTTCGGTGCCATTCTCAGGATTTTCAACCACCTTGTTGGCCTGAAGCTCACTGTTTAGGACAAATTGGCTGGGGACCTGCCAGGGATTCTCCTGTCTCTACCTCCTCAGCACTGGAATTGCAAGTATGCATTACCACACCTGGCAGTTTTGGATTTCTACATACGTTCTGGGGATCAAATTCATGCGCAAGGCTATTGTGCCATCTCCCCAGTCTTTTTAATTTTGTTGTACTGGGTTTGGTCTTATACATTGGAGGCAAGAGCTATACTACTGAGCTTCCCTACCCCCCTTTTTAAAAAAATTTTATTGGGACTGGAGAAATGGCTCAGCAGTTAAGAGCACTGACTGCTCTTGCAGAGGACCCAGGTTCGATTCACAGCATCCACATGGCAGCTGCGAACCATCCTTAACTCCAGTTCCAGGGGAATCCGAAGCCCTCGTCTGACCTCCACGGCATTGCACAACACAGGTGTACACTCATACACATTAAGAATAAAAATTAAAATTAAAACTTTATTGTGTATATGTGCATATATTCATGATGTATATGCACTGTGTGTGCAGCTGTGTGGCGGTTGATGTCTTTTTTCCTGTCCACATTTTTTTCTTTAACAATTTTATTATTTTTATTTTACGTGTATGAGTATATTGTCTGTATGTATGTAAGTGTGCCTATGTTGTGCATTGACCGATGAGGTCAGATAAGGGCATCAAATCCCCTTTTCTTTATTTTTCAGATGATTCCCTGTAGCCCCAGCTGGCCTGGAACTCTAGACCAGGCAGGCTTAGATCTCACCAAGATCCACCCACCTCTTGAGTGTTGGGATTAAAGGTGTGCACTACTACACGTGCCATCTTCCCCTTTTCATGTTTTTTTTTTTTTTTTTTTCACTTGGTTTTTTGAGACAGGATCTCCCTGTTGCCCCAGCAGTCCTGGAATTCGCCATGTAGACCTGGTTGGCCTTGAACCCATAGAGATCCTCGTGCCTCTGCCTCCTGGGATTAAAGGCTTACACCACTATGCCCAGCTTTAATTATTTGAGTCTTGGTTTCACTATGTAGTCTTGATCTCCAACTCACTTTGTAGTTGAGGATGACATTGAACCTGATACTCCACTTCCCAGGTGCTGGGATTAAAGGCATATGCTACCATGTCCTACCTCCACTTTTAAAGAAAATCTTATTAAAAAAAATAAGGGGGCTGGAGAGATGTCTCAGCAGTTATGAGCCCTGGCTGCTCTTGTAGAGGACCTGGGTTCAAATCCCAGCACCCACATGGTAGCAAACAGCCACCCATAACTCCAGCTCCAGGGCAACCAATGCCCTCTTCTGTCCTCCGAGTGGACTGCACCACATGGATACATTTACATCCAGTTATACACATAAAATAAAAATAAACAAACTGGGCTGGGCGTGGTGGGGCACACCTTTAATCCCAGCACTTGGGAGGCAGAGGCAGGCGGCTCTCTGTGAGTTCAGAGGCCAGCCTGGTCTACATAGTGAGTTCCAGGTCAGCTGGGGCTACAGGGAGACCCTGTCTCAAAAAGACCAGAAATAATAATAATAAAAAACTTAACCCCCCCCCCTCCAGGGCTAATGTCATTTTTTTTTTTATGTAGACCAGGCTGGCCTTGAACTCACAGATCTACCTGCCTCTGCCTCCCAAGTGCTGGGATTAAAGTCGTGCCCCACCACGCTTAGCATAATGTCATTATTATTTTTTAAAATTTTATGTGTAGTGTATTGCCTGCATGTATGTGAGTGCTTTCCTGTCGTCCGGTGCTGCAGAGGTCAGAAGAGGGCTTCAGTTTCTCCTGGAACTGGAGTTAAGGACGGTTCGTAGCTGCCATGTGGGTGCTGGCAGCTCGCCTGGAACTTACTATGTAGACCAGGACCAGGCTGGCCTTGAACTCACAGAAATCCACCTGCCTCCTGAGTGCTGGGATTAAAGGCGTGCGCCACTATGCCTGGCCTTTAAATTTCTTTCTTTCACAGTCAGTGCTTTTAACCGCTGAGCTGAGCCATCTGTCCAGCCCCAATGTCATTTTTTATTTTATTTTTTTAAAGGCTCCAGATTTTCTTTATTGAAATCTCTTTATCGTTTGGTTTTCAAGATTTTTACTTTTGAAATGGAAAACATTCCTTTTGGGGAACCTGGCTTACATGTGAGTAGCTAGAAGGCAAGAATTAGGCAAATCAGGGTGAAGCTAGGTGTGGGGAGTTTCTTCCCCAGGGGAGTTGGTTGTGAACTACTCCTCTTCCCGAGCAGAGCTATTTATGGAGAGTTAGTCCATCAATAATAGCCAGGTGATTTTGTAAACTGCTGAAATTATACTGTTTGGTATTCTTTTAAAATTATTTCCCAGTCATCAACTCTCTGTGTACTAGGTTACCTGTCTCCCCTTATTCCAGTTCCTCCTTGTTTCCCACCCCTCTATTTCTAGCTTGGTCATCAGAATCTTAAAAAGAACATGACCCCCTCTCCCATAGCAAATCACTTTATTAAGGGATTTTACTACACTCTTCTAGCTAAACAGAATATTTGGAAGGAAAGCCCTTTTTGGTTACTGACTCTTAAGTGTCATTAAAGATTAATTTGGGGGCCTGGAGAGATGGCTCAGCAGTTATCAATTTTTTTTCTTGTGCAAAGCCAGGAGTTTGAAAATGTTGGTTGCTTTAAGTTTTCATTTGTTAGAGTTAGAAATCAGTTATAGAAAAAGAATTATAATGGAAACCACTATTAAGTGAATGTTTTCTTTATTCCAGGAATTTACTGCCTTCATTTTCATAACAATCTTATTTTTTTTTTGGTCTTTTTGAGACAGGGTCTCCCTGTAGCCCCAGCTGTCCTGGAACTCACTGTATGGACCAGGCTGACCTTAAACTCACAGAGATCTGCCTGCCTCTGCCTCCCAAGTGCTGGGATTAAAGGCGTGGGCCACCACGCCCAGCCATAACAATCTTTTAAGTTAAAAATTAATAGGTGATACATTTGCATGTTATAAAAATGCAAAAGATTTACGTTGAAAAATGCCCAACCAGCGGGTTCTCTTCCCCAATATAATTTGATGTTAATTCTGTAATTTTATGTCTTTCCAGAAATACTCTATGTATATATAAGCAGTTATATAGTCTTACTTTTTCCTTTCTTTACACACAAATGGTAGCATCTAAATTTAATATTTTTGTACCTTGCTTTTTCTTATTGTATGACAAGGTCAGTATTTATAGCTTTTTTTTTTTTTGGTCGGTTTTTTTTTGGCGGCGTGGGGGGGGCGGTCTTTTTGAGACAGTGTCATCCCTGTAGCCCCAACTGACCTGGAACTATGTAGACCAGGCTGGCCTCGAACTCAGAGATCCGCCAGCCTCTGCCTCCCGAGTGCTGGAATTAAAGGCGTGCACCACCACACCCGGCCTAAAGCTCTTTAAAATAGTTGCATGCTTTAGTTGTCAATTTGACACACCTGGGTAGAGGGCGCCTCAGTTGCCTTCATTGGACTGGCCTGTGGCCATGTATGTGGGGTATTTTTTTTCTTTTATTGTTGAGTGACCTATGGGGGGCCTAACTCAGTGTGGGTGGTGCCACCCCTGGGCAGGTGGTCCTGTATTGTATAAGAAAGGAGGCTGAGCATGGGCCAGGGGAGCAAGCCAGTGGGCAGTGTTTCTCAGTGGCCTTTGCTTCAGCTCCTGCCTTCAGGTTCCTGCCCTGAGTTTCTACCTTGGGCTCCTTCAGTGATGAACATCAGGAAACGTAAGATAAAATAAACCTTTTCCTCCCCAAGTTGGTATTGGTCAGAGTGTTTTGTCACAGCAGTGGAGAAACAAACTAGAACAGTACCTTTATGGATACACACCACTAGAATTGTTTTTAATACCGTTTGAACGCTACAGTCAGTAATCTCATACATTACCTGATTTTGCATGGATTTAGCATGTATGTATGATTAATTACAGTGGAATTGCTGGCCAAAAGACACAAACACTTGTATCTTTTTTTTTTTTTTCAGTTCCTATCATACACAATTATTTGTCAAACTTAAAAATTTTTTAAGTTATGTATATAGAGTGTGTTTCTCTGACAGGTATGCACACATGCATGTGAATGCCCTCAGAGGGCATCGGATCCCCTAAAGCTAGAGTTTAGGGGTTGTAAGTTGCCCGCCCTGGGTGTTGGGAACTTAGCTCAGGTCCTCTGCAAGAGCTACAGTTAACCATCTTGCCAGCCAGCCTCTTTTTTAAAAAATAGTCCTGCTATGTAATGTAGCCCTGGATGACCTGGAACTCATTATGTAGACCAGTGTGGCCTCAATTCAGACCCACCTGCCTCAGCCTCCTGAGTGGTGGGATTAAAAGTGTGCAGTGGGGCTGGAGAAGTGGCTCAGCAGATAAGAGCACTGGTGGTCTCCACACCAGGAGAGGTTAGGGAGATCTGAAATCTGAGTCTCAGCAAATTGCTAGGGTGAGAGAAAACGCTTCAGGCAGGCAACGCGTGGGAAGTCGCAAGTTTTCCCGCCACTGTAGGGGGCGTGATCCGTGACGTCAGAGCTCCGCCTACGAAAGAGGCGGTATGTAGGCTCGGCCTTGGTACGGTGGCGACGCGCGTGAGACCGGAAGGAATTTATAGATTTCGCCTCCACCCTTCCGCTGCGCGGCGCGCGGCTTGATGACGACACCGGGCCCGCCCCCTGCCCTGCCCTTGCTCGGGAGTTCCTGAGTCGTGCTGCGTGGTCGGCGGTAGTGACGCGCATTGCCTGAGGGATGGCGGATACCGGCTTGCGCCGCGTGGTTCCTAGCGACCTTTATCCCCTCGTGCTCGGCTTTCTGCGTGATAACCAACTCTCTGAGGTGGCCAATAAGTTCGCCAAGGCGACAGGCGCTGTGAGTCCTGGGTTTGGTCTGCGGGCCGGGATGGGACGACCCTCCAAGGATCTAGGCCCTGACTTGCTTAGTTTTCTGGGTTGGCAGGGTGTCGGGGTCCTCCAGTCCAGTCTGCGAGGCCTTGGTGCTGACCTGCCGAGAGCCTGCGGCCTCGGCGTCTCCTCTCCCCCAGATCTGGTTAGGGAGCTCTGAGTCTTACTGCTTTTTCTGGTGAGTTTTGCAGCGGCAGCAGGCGTGGGACCCGCGTGGCCCAAGTCACGTGGCTGACAGTGCGGTGTGGAGCAAACGCTGGGTCCCACTGAGAGCTTCGGTTTCGCTTGGTTCTTCTGGTGGGCTTTTTATTGGTCTAGGCAAAGCATGATTCGACCTTATCCTTGATCGTATTTACTCAGGGTCGCCTTACTCAGAAATGAAGGCTAGGATTTTTGTTACCTGAGAGCAATGAAAATACAGGCTTCTGTTTTCAGTAGACTGAAGGAATATGCTTCCCGCCCTACCAAGTTGGTGTAGCACTGAGCTTTGGCTAGTGAAATCAAACAAACATAGGTTTGGGACCGGGCTGTTGCTGCTCTTTACATGTTTGACCCCCGCAGCCTTCGTTTATTTGCTTGCTAGTTTGAGACAGGGTCTTAGGATAGCCCAGGCTGACTTCCAACAACTGTGTAGCCGAGGATGGCCTTGAGCTCCTGATCCTCTGGTCTTAGTCTACTAGTGCTGGGATTTCAGGCATGCACTAGCACGCTTGAACTTAGCAATTTTCTTAGCCTCTTTGTTTCTTTTTTACAAGAGTGTCATTATCTAATTGATAGAATATTTTGAAAGATTTGTTAAAGAGGAAATACACATAGTAGCAATACCAGTGCCCTGCACAGAAGCATGGGATAAATGGCAGCTGTTACCATAGTTTTGTCAATTAAAGATGCTTCTAACTCTAAGAGCAAGATGGCAAGGAAGAATGTGAAAAGCTTGGAATCGTATCTCAAGGGAAGCAGTAATTTGCCTAGGGGCACCTTGAGAGGGGGTACCTGGCAGTCTTATTCAAGAATGATAGCATAACTAAAGTTAGGTTACTTCTGGTTTTTGTTTTAAATTTTAATTTGTTTTTCTTTTATGTGTTTTGCCTGCATGTATGTAAGTGTACCCATGTCGTGCATTGCCCACAGAGAACAGAGGAGGGCATTGGATCCCCTGGAACTGGAGTTAAGGACAGTTGTTAGCGGCCATGTGGGTGCTGGGATCCAAATATGAGTCTTCTGCAGGGGCAGCCAGTGCTTTTAACTGCTGAGCCATCTCTCCAGCCCCTTGATTTTTTTTTTTTTTTTAAATATTTTCTTAGCTAGGCATAGTGGTGCACTCCTTTAATACCAGCACTCAGAAGACAGAGGCAGGTGGATCTCTGTGAGTTCCAGGACACCTGGGGCTACAGGGAGACCCTGTTTCAAAAATACCAAAAAAAAAAAAAAAAAAAAATGCTAAAAAAGTATTTTTGTAGGGGCTGGAGAGATGGCTCAGCGGTTAAGAGCACTGACTGCTCCTGCAGAGGACCTGGGTTCGATTCCCAGCACCCACATGGCGGCTACAAACCATCCTTAACTCCAGTTCCAGGGGAAATTGAAGCCCTCTTCTGACCTCCGTGGCATTCACGACATGGGTGCACTCACATGCAAGCAATACACTCATACACATAAAATTTAAAAAAAAAATTTTTTTTTATGTGTAAAGAGTGTATTGCCCGCATGCACGTGCACCTGTGTTGTGCAGTGCCCAAGGAAGTAAGAAGAGGGCTGGTAAACCACCATGTGGGTGCTGGGACTCGAACCCGGGTTCTTTGTAACTGGAAATGAAACCCAGGGCCTTGTGCATGTTGAACAAGCTCTCTACCATAGAGCTGCATCTCAGAAACAAACCTCCTTTGTCTGTATGTGGTGTGTGTTTGTTTTTTGAGACAGGGCAGGGTCTCCCTGTTGCCCCAGCTGGCTTAGAACTCACTATTGTAGTCCAGGCTGGCTTTAAATTTTCTCCCCAGTCCTGCTGTCAGCGGGGATTAGAAGTATGAGCTACCCCTCCAGGTTTTATAGGTGCTCTCTTAGTGGAACTGTTCTGAGTTGGTAATTAGGCATTTCAGGGTTAGGATTTTTTTTTTTTTGGTCTTTTTGAGACAGGATCTCCTGTAGCCCCAGCTGTCCTGGAACTCAATTTGTAGACCAGAACTCAAAGAGATCTGCCTGCCTCTGCCTCCTAAGTTCTGGGATTAAAGGTGTGCGCCACCGCACTGGGCCCTGTTTTTTTTTTTTTAATTTATTATTATTTTATGTGTATGCATGTATTGCCTGCATGTAGGTAAGTGCAATGCCTGCAGAGATCAGAAGAGGCTATCGGATTCCCTGGGACTGGAGTTACGGACAGTTGTTAGCTGCCATGGGGGTGCTGGGATTCAGACCTGGGTCTTCTGCAAGAACAGCCAGTGTTCTTAAACACTGAGTCATCTTTCTAGCCCCAGGATTGTTTTTTATATAACAAAAGCTAATATTTGTAAAGGGCCGACTAAGGGCCAGGTGCTATTTTGCAGACCTTCAGCCCTTTCTATTTGTTCTTTATCTTAACAAACGAGATGTGCAGCATTATGGCCAAATTATGAAAAATCAGATTATGGGACTAGATAGATGGCTCAGTGGTTAAGAGCACTGACTACTCTTACAGAGGACACAGGTTGGGTTCCTAGCACCCACATGGTAGCGAACAACTGTCTGTAACTCCTTTAATTCCTGGGGATCAGATGCCCAATTCCTGTGGTCTGTGAGTATTGCACTATATCGGAGCATGTATATCCACTCCAGCAAGACACTCATACACACAAAATAAAAAATAAAAAAAATTTATTTTTTTTATTTTTTATTTTTTGTCTTTATTGAAGCAGGGTCTCCTTGTAGCCCCAGCTGTCCATGGCAGAAAGAACACTGACTTCTGCACTAAAAAAAAAAAAACTTTAATTTTATATGTATGAGTATATTGCCTGTGTGTATGCAAGTGCACTCCTGTCATGCAATGCCTGTGGAGGTCAGAAGATGGTGTTGGAATTATAGGTGGTTGTTAGCTACCATGTGGGTACTGGGATCTGAACCCTTCTGTAAGAATAGCCAGTGCTCTTAACTGCTGAGCCATCTCTCTAGCCCCTAATTTATTTATTTTTATTTTATGTGTATGACTGTTATGCCTGCATGTAAGTGCACCTGTGTCATGCAGACCTCTTAGGCCCTCCGTATGTTTTTGACATTTTCAGACAACCCAGCCTGACTTCGAGTTCATAAGTACAAGAATTATAGGTTTGCTCTGCCATGCCTGGCTGGGAATTATGTGTATGTGGATGTGTGCATGTGAGGGCAGGTGCCCAAGGCGGGCCTGATGAGGGTGCTGGGAGCCTAACTCATCCTATGTAAGAGCAATGCTGGATCTTAACCACTGAGCCATCTCTCAGCCCCTGAACTATTTTTTTAGATTTTATTTTATGTGTATGAGTGTATTTCCTGCATGTATGTGAGTCACCCATGTTGTGCAGTGCCGCAGAGGTCAGAAGAGGGTTTCGGATTCCCCTGAACTGGAGTTAAGGATGGTTTGTAGCCGCCATCTGGGTGCTGGGAATCAAACCCCGGTCCTCTGCAAGAGCATTCGGTGCTCTTAACCGCTGAGCCATCTCTCCAGCCCCAAATTTTATTATTTTTATTTTATGTGTATGAGTGTATTGCCTGAATGTAGGTAGGTACACCTATGTCATACAGTGCCTGCTGAGTACAGAAGATGGCATCAGATCCCCTGGTAGTGGAGTTATGGATGGTTGCTAGCTGTCATGTGGGTACTGGGAATCGAACCCGGGTCCTCTGCAAGAGCTAGTCCATATTTGCTGCCAAAAACAGCAATACTAGAATATTTTTCTCTTAACTTCTGTAAGGAGAAAAAAGTATAACATCTGCTTCAAATTTAGTAGGTAAATAACAGAACATATTTAACAAAAGAGTAAGAGAATCTGCCCTCTCCTAGAGAAACAGGATAACACTCCTTAACCTAGCCTGTTTTCTCCCACAGACTCAGCAGGATGCCAATGCCTCCTCCCTCTTGGACATCTATAGTTTCTGGCTCAAGTAAGCCTTCCTTGTTCCATTTGGGCTGTTTTCTCCCCCTAGGTGGGCTGGGGCTGTATTCCTTGGTTTGAGAAGGTCCTGACCCCACCCCAGAAGTCAGCCTAATCTACATCAGCAGGTCTGCAAAAGCCCCAAAACGGAAATTACAGACCAATGGACCAGTGGCTAAGAAGGCTAAGAAGGAGACTTCATCCAGTGACAGCAGTGAGGACAGCAGTGAAGAAGAGGAGGAGAAAACTCCAGGGCCTCCAGCAAAGAAGGCTGGTAAGGCAGGGGAAGGGTTGAACATGGTGGCTCCAGGAAGAGAATATACCACCTGCCTGGACAACAGTGGCCATTTCTCAACCAGTACCTATGCTTTTGTTTAGCTGTACCTGCTAAGCGAGCCAGTTTGCCTCAGCATCCTGGAAAGGCCAAAGCTTCAGAGAGCAGCAGTAGTGAAGAATCCAGTGATGAGGAGGAAGAAGAGGATAACAAAAAGAAAAAGCCTGTCCAGGTTTGCAGCTTTGGGAGGAGAAGAAGGGGTTTCTAATGGGTTTGGAAATGAAGAAGCCTGAAATCGACATCTAATAACGTAGCTTAGTAAAGGAGTGATAAAAAATAAAGGCTGTTCAATATGGGGTAAAATCTGGGAATTTTTGAGCAAGGTTATAGAAGTTGAGGTCTAGAACGATGGGCTCCAAATGTAGAAAGAATTCAGCTTGGGGATTCTGAGTTCTTTTGGGATACTATTTAGGGCTTTGAGAATACATATGTTTTTTTTGGGAGCTGTTGACAAGTTTATAGCAGGAATAGGGCCAGTTTTATCAAGTGGCTGAACTTTTTGTTACTGTTTTGCACTTGCTACATTATGTTCTCCCTGGGTTTTCCTTGCCCTTAGTACTCTCATAGGCCCTTAAAAAAATGAAAGTCTTAGGTTCCTTTTAGGTATCCAGGAGTTCTTGCTGATTCCCCTCTTGTGTATTTAACAGAAGGGAGTTAAGCCCCAAGTTAAGGCAGCCAAAGCTCCTCCTAAGAAGGCCAAGAGCTCCGAGTCTGGCTCTGACTCAAGCTCAGAGGATGAAGCACCGCAGAACCAGAAGCCAAAGACAACACCTGTGGCAGCAAAAGCTCAACCTAAAGCCCTAACCAAAGCAGGTATTTCTGTCCCTAAGACAATAGGGTGGGACCAAAGTTTCTTGGAACTGATTGATACTTAAAATGCTCATTTGGGACCAATGTGAAACGGTACTAGTTAGTGAGCTAGAAGTAAGTAATCATCACTCTCCTTTTTTAAAAAAGAAAACTAGCAGCTGGGGGCGGTGGCACATGCCTTTAATCCCAGGACTTGGGAGGCAGAGGGAGGTGGATCTCTGTGAGTTCAAGGCCAGCCTGGTCTACATAGTGAGTTCCTGGACTGCTGGGGCTACAGGGAGACCCTGCCTCAAAAAGACCAAAAAAAAAAAAAAAAAGAAAAGAAAACTAGCTAGGTCTGGTAGTAAAGGTATATAATATCGATTTCACAAAAGGATATGGCAAGAGGATCACAAGTATAAGACTAACTTGGAAAACTTAGCAGGACCCTGTTGCAAAGTTTTTTAAAAAAGAAAAGGCTCGAGGTACAGCTCTGTGAGAGAGTGCATGTTTAACGTGTGATTAGGGTTCAATTCCCAATACTACACACACAGCCAGTTATGGTGGGTGCATACCTATAAGCCCTGCAGAGGTGAATGATACTGCTCTAAGTTCAAGGCCACTCAGGAAGAAAAAAAAAGAGCAAAAATGTAGTAAGTGATAAGACTTCATAGTTAGAGGCTAATGAATAAGAGAAGCAATTATTTTAGCAATGAAAATATCTTTTCTGTCTACATCCTGTGTGGTTCACACTATCCTTAAACTCAAGATTCTACCCTTGATCTTTGTCAAAGGCCTGAGAAGTAATTAAACTCTTTATTTGGAAACAGGGTCTCACTATGTAGACTAGGCTGACCTTGACCTCTGCTTGCCTCTGCCACCCAAGTGCTGGGATTAAAGGCATGCATCAGTATATCCATCTATATATAATATTTTAAATTTTTAGGTATGTCTTGCTGGGTAGTCAGGCTGGAATTTGTGATCCTTCTGCCTCATCTGCTCAAGTACTAGAATTAGTAGACATGCCTTAGCCAGGCATGTGGTGCTTACTTAATTGTAGCACTTGGGAGGTGGAGACAGAAAGACCAGACATTCGAGGCTAGTGTGGGCTAAGACCTGCCTTAAAAAAACAACCAAAGCCCATGTTCTTGTATATGCTAAGCACTGTTCTATGAACAACACTCCCAGCTGGTACATGCTTTGTCTGTGCTTGCTTTTCATTACCAATTTTACTCCTGCGCTTTTTTTTTTTTTTAATATTTTATTTTACTATTTTAATTAAAAAATATTATGCCTGCACGTAAGTTAAGTACACTCGTGTCGTGCAATGCCCACGGAGGACAGAAAAGGCTGTCGGATCCACTGGAACTGAAGTACCGAACCCGGGTCCTCTGCAAGAGCGGTCAGTGCTCTTAAGCACTGAGCCATCTCTCCAGCCCCTGTCTTTGGTCTTTTTTGAAACAGGGTCTCCCTTTAGCCCCAGCTGGCCTGGAACTTACTATGTAGACCAGCCTGGCCTCTCACAGAGATCTGCCTACCTCTGCCTCCCAAATGCTTGGATTAAAGGTGTGCGCCACCATGCCTGCCTACTCCTGCACTTTCATTCCACTCAATAAATGAGATGTTTTTTTCCTTCCCTAACGTTCCTTATGACAAAGGAAAGACTTCAGAAGGCATATTTAAATGATTTGTAGTATGTGGTCTTTTTTAGATAGTTGCATTTCTGATATTAAACTGAAAAGTCTTCCTTTCTCTTGATAACTATCCCATAGCATTTTCCTTTATGGAGACTATTAAAATTGGAGTCTCCTGACTTGTCTTAATAATGCTTTGTTTCTCTTTTCTTCTTAGGTACACCAGCTAGAGCACAACCTAAAGTAGCCAATGGTAAAGCAGCCAGCAGCGGTAGCAGCAGCAGCAGCAGCAGCAGCAGCAGTGATGACTCAGAGGAGGAGGAGAAGGCAACAGCCCCTCCGAAGAACGTCAGAGTCATAACTCTATCATTGGGGAGGGTTCTCCATTTCTGGTAGGATTGTTTGGAATGGCATTTTTTTCTAACAATTTTCTCTCTGATGCAGACTGTACCTAAAAAGCAAGTTGTGGCCAAGGTACCAGTGAAAGCAACTGTCACTCCTGCCCAGAAGAGTTCTAGCAGTGAAGATTCTTCCAGTGAGGAGGAGGAAGAACAGACAAAACCCATGAAGAAAAAGCCAGGTGACTGGATGTGGGGAATCAATCTGTATGACCTGTCTGTAGAGCTAGCTGTTAGCAAGGCCTCCAAGACATGACAGCTAGCTTCTTCAAGGGATCCAAAAAAGCAAGGGAGACACCACAAGGCCTCATAAGTGACACACTGTTACCTCCATGATGTGTTAGAAGAAATCAATTTCTAATCTCAGCCCACGCTCAGGGAAAGAGAATAAGCCCCATTTCTAGAGATAGTATCAAGAATTTAAGTACTTGTATTTGTTTGTGATGCTGGGGATAAAATCCAGGGCTTTGTGCATGCTAGTATTGCACTTCTAAGCTATATCCTCAACCCTATGTACATTTTTACTTTTGCTTGTTTGAGGTGGTCTTCCTTTGTAGCCCAAGCTGGCCTTTTGCTTTAGCCTCCTGAGTGCCAGTATTACAGGCGTGAACCACCATGGCCTAGAATTTACATATTTCAAACTGCTCTACCTTTTTTTTGAGACAGGGTCTCCCTGTAGTCACAGCTTCCTGGAACTTGCTATGTGGACCAGGCTGGCCTTGAACTCAAACCCACCTACCTCTGCCTCCCAGGTGCTGTGCTAGCATTAAAGGTGTGGGTCACCACATCCAGCTCAAACTACTGTTACCTTTTTAAATTTTTTTCTTTATTTTTTGTGTATGAGTGTATTGCCTGCATGTATGTGCTTCTGTGTTGTGCAGTTCTTGTGGAAGTCAGAAGAGGACATAAGATCCCTTGGAACTAGAGTTAAGGATGGTTGTTAGCCACCATGTAGATGCTGGGAACTGAACCCGGGTTACTGAGCCATCTCTCCAGCTCCTACTATACCTTTTAAACAGGTCCCTACAGTTCAGTCCCACCACCTTCTGCTCCTCCACCAAAGAAGTCCTTGGGAACCCAGCCTCCCAAGAAAGCTGCAGAGCAGAAACAGCCCGTGGAAAGCAACGAAGACAGCAGTGATGAGTCTGGTGAGTCACAGGGATATAGTGCAATTCTAGAAGTGGCTCTGGGGGAGGGTGAGAATAAGGAGAGAGAATTATACGTCCCTCTGTTGCTTTTGAAGTGAGAAAAGGCCAAGATATTGTATGCATCTATACATTTTTTGTCTTGCTTTCCTGGTTGGGTTTGAACTCTATACTCAGCCTAATGTCACAAGTTCTCCTCAGATTCAAGTTCTGAAGAAGAGAAGCCCCCAGCTAAGGCAGTTGTCTCCAAAACACCCACCAAACCAGCCCTAGCAAAGAAGACAGCAGAGAGCTCTTCAGACAGTTCAGGTAATTCTGCAGAGGCCCTTGGTACTGTTACTTGGAGCAGCTGCTACAGGGCTCACCTGAATTCGATTTGTGGAGCTATTCATTCTTTCCCCTCTTCTAGACTCTGACAGCTCTAAGGATGAAAGTCCTGCCAAGCCAGTTAGTACCACCAAGAACTCCCTAAGTAAGCCAGCTGCCATGCCCAAGCCATCTGCAGCTAAGGCCTCTGCAGCTCCTAAGCAACCTGTAAGTAGTGGCCAGAAACCGCTGACCAGAAAGGCTGACAGTAGCTCTAGCGAGGAGGAAAGCAGCTCCAGTGAGGAGGAGACTGCAAAGAAACCTCTGAGCACCCCTAAGCAGACCAAGGTGACTCCCAAAGCAGTGCCATCTGTGCCTGCCAAACAGGCTTCTCAGGGTGGTGAGGACAGCAGCTCCGATTCAGAGAGTTCCAGCAGTGAGGAGGAGGAGGAGGAGGAGGAAGAGAGGAAGACACCTAAACCCCCAGTTAAGAAGGCAGCAGGAGGTGGAACTCCTTCCAAGTCAGGCGCTGCCAAGAAAAAAGCAGCTGAGAGCAGCAGCAGCTCCTCCTCAGATGACTCCAGTGAAGAGGAGAAAGAGAAGCCCAAGGGCAAGGCCACTCCCAAACCACAAGCCCTCAAGGCCAATGGCACCCCTGCTGCTCAGAATGGAAAAGCTGGTGAGCAGAGTGAGGAGGAGGAGGAGGAAAAGGAGAAGAAAAAGGCAACTGTGTCAGTTTCCAAGCCAGGTCTGTATCTGGGGAGCATGACCCCTGGGTGTCTTCTCCAGGTCTGCATGGGATATACTCTTGGAGTGAGGGAGGCAGGAAGCATCTACTGCCCAAGTGCTGGGATTGCAGGTGTGTACTGCTGTGCTTGGCCTCTGAGTCTGGCCTTTTGTTTTATAGGTTCAGGAAAGAAACGGAAGCAGAATGAGGCAGCAAAGGAGGCAGAGACTCCTCAAGCTAAGAAACTTAAACTTCAGACTCCCAACACATTTCCAAAAAGGAAAAAAGTATGTTGTTCCACTTTATTGTCAGAAGCAGCTCTTTAAAACTTGAAAGAAAACCCAAATCCTCTTGACAGCTCAGCCTGGCCTGGCACCATGTATTTGTTCAGGAGAGCTGTTACATGACCATTTCATTTTTTAACTTCGTACTTCATTCCTTTCTAGGGAGGAAAAAGGGCTTCTTCCCCATTCCGAAGGGTCAGGGAGGAGGAAATAGAGGTTGATTCACGAGTGGCAGACAACTCCTTTGACGCCAAGGTGAGATTTTTGCCACTCATGAGGTGGAACCTCTTGTGTCCAGACTGCCTTGAAGGGGGGAGTAAAGAGAGAGAGATGACAGGGCGTTGGGATTGTTTTCTGTGTATTAACTACCTCTCTCTGTTTATCAGCGAGGTGCATCTGGAGACTGGGGTGAACGAGCCAATCAGGTTCTGAAGTTCACCAAAGGCAAGTCCTTCCGGCATGAGAAAACCAAGAAGAAGCGAGGCAGCTACCGGGGAGGCTCCATCTCTGTCCAGGTCAATTCTGTCAAATTTGACAGTGAGTGACCTGGAATCGACTTTGGCAAAGTAAGGGTGACAGGAGGTCACTCAGCTCTAATGAACTCAGAAACTCAGCTTTGGTAGGAAAGGGTCTTGGTAAGGACAGTTTAGATTAGGTCCCAAGACTCTCTAAACTATGATCTCTGGTCCTTTTTGTGTTCCTGCCTGTGAGCAGATTTGTTTTTGAGTGTTGTGTATCAGAGACAAAGTAAGAGGAATGTTGTTTTTTATGAAACTCCATTTTAGTTGTCATTCCCTTCTTCCTGTTCTGTGGAAGTCCTCATACTGAGAAATTTGTATATTTTATATTAAATCATTTCATACTAGTTTTTGTTGTGATTTTCAGAGATGAGTTCCACGGCTACAAAGTCTTAGCTGTTGCCTAAGACATAGTGAACTATCAAAGGTAGAATTTTTCTGTTTGGAGGATTCTACTCACATGAGTGCACACATCCATATTTTATCCCTCCTTCCCTCAAAGCTCTGGTAGGGGACAGTTAAAGAATGGTTGACAACATCTGTTAAGCACGCCCTATATATAGTTCATCTCACTGGGTCTGAGACTGAGCTTTCAGAAGCCAATGTGGATTTTCTAACTTTGGGGGATAAATACTGTTCTTGGAACATAACATCCCATAAAATTAACAAGCATAATTCTAGTGTGGTGTGAATGCCATGTATTGGTCTGATTGTTTTGTTTTCTGTAATTTTTATTACTACTGCATGTTTGCAGTACGTTTTTAGTTTCAGAACAAGTTTTTCTGCCATTAAAAGGCATTTTTCAACAGTTTGACTCTTAACTATTTTACTAAGTTCAAGACTGTATTTCCTTATTTTTAACATGGTCATGAGCAATTCTTGACATGAATTTTATGTGAAAAATATATCATACTGGGTATTTCTTTCTCCATAGCAGTGGTGAAACAGAATTGGTTTAATTTCTGCATGATTGGGAATCACTGGTCAAGGAAGTGGAAATAGCTAATTAAAACCCTCAGTCCTCAGAAGCAGGTTACATTGGGTGAATTTATATTTATATTTTATTTACCTGTGGTAATGGAGAGAACCTTTCTCATAAAGGAGACTATCTGATACGGCTTGAGTAGAGTGGAGCTGGGAGAGCATCTTAACAGGATCATGTTGTAAGGTTGTTACATGGTAATTGTGTCTTGTTGAAATTGGTACACCGGAGTAATTGGCCCGTGTCCCCTTTAGTAACTTAACAGTAAATTTAATGATAAAACCAGTGAGCAGGCCTGGCAGGCAGAGCTCAGAGAGTACTTGCCTAGCATTCAGGATACCCTGAGTTTGATCCCCAGCAGTGTAAAACAAAAAACTAAAACCAATCAGTGAGCAGAGAGACTTGATTCCTAGGCCAAGGGAACATATTATAAGGACATAGGTTGTGACCATTGGCAGTGCTCAGCCACAGTGAGGAGGAGGAAGAGTTTCCACAATCACCAAATACTCTGTTAAAACCTGGTTCTCTGTGATGACTGCCTTGAGGAAGGAAATGTGCTGGTGTCTCCATGGTCCAAGTTTTGCATCTTACTACAAAACAATAAACTGGCTTGTTTCTAATGTGTTGGGAGTTTTATTGTTGTTGAGTATAAATCCCTCTTTTCAGAAAAATTTGCCAGGTAGTGGGCCAGGGTCTAGATGTGCCTGAGTTGACAATAGAGGCTTCTTGGACAGCAGTTTGTCAGCTCTTTAACCACAGCTCCTCTCAGTACCTTTTCCAGCCACCCCTCCCTTTTAAAAATAAAGATGGTATCTTAACTATGTAGCACTGACTGGCCTCAAACTTGGAGAAATCTAGTCTAAAGCGATGACTCCCCAGTTAAAAGGACCCAGGCTTAGTTCCAGGAGCCTCATGATAACTTAACAACTGTTTGTAACTCCAGTTCCAGGGCATATGTGTGGTGTGCTTGCATACATGAAAACACTAGACTGCTGAGTGCTAGGATTTCTTTTACAGGCTTTATTCCATAGTTAAATTAGGAGTTCTCAGGCCCGACGTGGTTTGCAAAATGTCAGCCTTTTATTTATTTTTGAGACAGGGTTTCCTTATAGCCCCAGCTAACCTGGAACTCACAGAGATCCAGAGATCTGTCTGCCTTTGCCTCCCAAGTGCTGGGACTAAAGGTGTGTGCTACCACACCTGGCTTTTTTTTTTTTTCTTTCAGGCCTAGAATCCATTATGTGTATCACACTGGTTTGAATTCACAGACCTCCGCTTATCTCAGCCTCCCAAGTGCTGAGATTAAAGGCATGTACCACCATGTCTGGCTAGCCTATGGTTTTCATCTTATTTAGGGACAAAGAATAGTTTTTATATTAGAAAACTATTTTGGTTTGGTTTTAAACACTAGCTGAATTGAATCATCTGGGAAACTTGGAAAACACTGATAATTTGGGGTAAGGATATATATAGCTCAATTGGGTAGTGCTTTCTTGGAATGCTTAAAGTCTTGGGTTTGATCATTCCAACACCATGTAAATCAGGCATGCATACCTGTAATCCAACTTGGAAGGTGGAGGCAGGAGGATCAGGAGGAGTTCAGGACATTATTTGGTTACATAGTTCAAGGCCAACCTGGATTGTATTAGACCTTGTTTCAAAAGATGGGAAAATAGGCCGGGCGTGGTGGTGCACGCCTTTAATCCCAACAGAGGCAAGAGTTCAAGTCCAGCCTGGTCTACATAGTGAGTTCCAGGATAGCTGGGGCTACAGGGAGACCCTGTCTCAAAAAGACCAAAGGAAAAAAAAAAAGACATCCATGTGTGAATTGAATAATACAGAAGTGAAAGTTAAATTTTCCTTTTCCATTCCTTAGAACCTGTTCTTGTTCTTTGTCTCTTGCTAATCGCTCAGTTTATCTGCCACTTGCTATTCTTTTTTTTCTCCCCCACTTGCTCTTCTTTTACTTTGGTTTGCTGTATACTTACAAGCTCATCTAAAATTGAAAATACCTTTACTGTAGATCATTCTTCAAACCATACATAACTGTTGGCTAGAGGGCAAGGCACATTCATAAATTGTTGCTGGAACTACAAATGAATACAGTAACTTTAGAAGACCATAATAGTCAAAATGTAAGGTTAGGCCGGGCATGGTGGCGCATGCCTTTAATCCCAGCATTTGGGAGGCAGAGGCAGGTGAATCTCTGTGAGTTCGAGGCCAGCCTGGTCTACATAGTGAGTTCAGGCCAGCTGGGGCTACAGGGAAACCCTGTATCAAAAAGACCAAAAAAAAAGTGAGGTCAGAATAGAGTTTTGGGTTTCTTTTTAAAAAGATTTTATTTTGGGGCTGGAGATTTGGCTCAGTGATTAAGAGCACTGATTGCTTTTGCAGAGGACCTGGGTTTGATTCCTAGCACCCACATGGTAGTTAACGACCATCTGTAGCTTTAGGGGATCTGACACCTTCTGACCTCCAAGGGCATTGAATGACAGGTGCACTTACACACATGCAGGCAATACACATAAAACAAAAATAACAAAGATTTTTTGAGGGTTGGAGAGATGGCTCAGCAGTTAAGGGCACTGGTTGCTCTTACAGAGGACCTGGGTTTGATTCCCAGCACCCATATGGTGGCTAGCAATCATCCATAACTCTAGTTCAGGGGGAATCTAATGCCTTCTGATCTCTGTGGGTATTGCACGACCCAGGTGCACTTAACAAACATATAGGCTATACACTTAAGCATAAAATGAAAATCTTTAAAATTTTTTTATGCTGGGTGTGGTGGCGCATGCCTTTAATCCCAGCACTTGGGAGGCAGAGGCGGGTGGATCTCTTGAGTTCAAGGCCAGCCTGGTCTACATAGTTCCAGGCCAGCTGGGGCTATGAGGAGACCCTGTCTCAAAAAAGAAAAAAAAAAAAAAGATTTTTACTTTTATGTGTATTGAGTGTTTTGCCTACTGTATGCCTGGTGAAACTGAATCTGGGTCCACGGCATGATCTGCAAGTGCTCTTAACTGTTGAGTCATCTCTCCAGTCCCATGTGTTTCTCTTTAGTCCCCCCTCAGTATCCATGGGTGATGTGCTCTGCCTCCATCCTGTTCAGATAACAAAATCTGTAATGCTCGTCTCATTTGTAATGGCTCAGTACATGTATAACCCACACACATCCTGCATACTCTGTTACATTTCTAATACCTGCTGATTCTGAAGATAATGTGCTTTTTAACATATTTTGCCCTGCTGGACATCGAACCCAGACCTTTGAGCATGCTAGATCACGTGTTCTACTAGAATATACTAGATTAAGTGAACTACTCTAGCTTCACATTCTGATCGTTATGGCCCTATAAAGCTGTTATACTAATTTGTAGTTGCAGGAACAATTTATGGAAGCACCTTGCCCTCTGGCCAACTGTTGTACAGCTCAGAGAATGATCTACAGTGGCTGTATTTTCAGTTTTGAATGAGTTTATTAAGTATACAGCAAGCCAAAGTAAAAGAATAAGTAGCAAGTAGCAGATGGATAGCAAAGCATCACACTGGGCACTCAAAAACCAGCAGAAATTGAGGAACTCCTTTAAGGTAGGCAGCTGGAGTTTCCAATAGTCATAGGCAGAGCAGAGTGAGGCTTCCAAGTAAAAGAACAAACATGGAAAGGTAACATCAATTCAAGGGCTTAGAAACCTGCAGAAACGGGAAGATGAGAAAGTCAGCTGGAATTCCTGATGGAACTTTGCAGAGCTGAGCTTCCCATGGCAGAACTTCCAGCCTCTCTTTCCCACTATGTAGGCACTTTCCTATCAAGGGATGAAAACAGAAACCTCTGTTGGAAATGGTTTACCTTCCAGCTGTTTTCAAAGACACCCTTTTACTCTTGGGCTCTTTAGCTGTTCTCCCTGTCACAGAGTAAGTGGGGGTCAGCCCATCCCCAGACAAACATGCTTGTGTCTGAAATGGCATTGAGAGGCAGCCCCGTTCCCAGAGCTATGTTAGTGAGCTCAAACAGCACATGGCAATTGACCAGTGTAAAGCATATACCAACACTTCACAATTGATCTCTGCTATTTGAACAAATGAAAATACTGTCATATTTTTTTTTTTTTTGTGCTAAAACACATTAAGGCATGGTGGTACATGCCTGTAATCCCAGCTCTCAGGACATGTAGGCAAAAGGATCAGTTCAAGACCAGCCTTGGTTATTTGAGACTTTATTAGCCAAATAAATAAAGCTAGAAAGATGGCTAAGTGGGTAAGGACACTTGCCATAGAAACCTGAGTTGATCCCTTGAAAACCATAGTGGTGTTAAGGGTCCGTAAAATTCCCCAAATTGACCATTCAGACACTGAGTCTCAGTAAAAAGGAGCGTTTTATTGGAACCAAGCGATTAGGGATGCAGACAGTCTCGGGAGCTGTACTGCAATGCTGAACAGTAAAATCGCAGGGCTTTTAAGCATAAAAACCACAAGGCAGGGGATGTCCATAGAAACTATACACAGAATAACCAAGGAAGGATTGGAACAATTTAGGGCTGATTTCCAGAGATTTTACCTATACAGCCATTGGCTGTCTTACTTGGGGCATAACGTTCTTTCTCTTCTGCCCCAGATTATTCCCATAGAGACCATACACAGATGTATCAAGTATACTGTCATTGGCTAGCTCACCTGGGGCAGAACGTTCTGTCTCTTCTGCCCCAGACCATTTCCATAGAAATCATAAGCAGATACGAGGAAAGGGTTCGAATGATGAAGGGAATTTCCAGAGTTAAGTGGCGGGCAGCTTTTTCTCAGAGGATAGGGAGGGGGTTGAGGACCATTCTCTTTCATTCCCCCCTTTTAGTTTTTGGAAATTTTTTAATCAAACCATTGATTCATATGGGTCATCTATGGGGTTGTGATGGGCTCCCACTGATTCAGACAACGTCCAGGGGATTATAATGGTCCCTCATAACCATCAGTTGTACAGCGGAGACCCTTTGTTTAATGAACTTAACTAGAGCATTTTGGATACAGGGTTCAAAGATTAACAGTGCTATAAAGATTAAGAGAGGACCAGCTATTGCAGTGATAAGGGTAGTAAGCCAAGGTGACCAGGAGCATAAAGATTCGAACCAGTTCTGGGAATCTTTTCTAAGTTCTTCTTGTTCTAGGAGACTCTGTTTTACTTGTGCCAGGGTGTCTTTAATCATACCTGAATGGTTGGCATAAAAACATGTTTCTCCTAGAGCCATACAGAGTCCACCTTCCTTAAGAAAAAATAGGTCTAAGCCTCTTCTATTTTGTAGGACTACTTCAGCTAAGGAGTCCATTTGTTGCTCTAAATAGGAAGCAGTGGTATGTAATCTGATATCTTTATCAACTTGTTCACTTAAAACTTTTAAGTTTCGGTCACTTGTGACCCAGGCTGCCCTTCCGATGACAGCAGACCCAGCTATCCCTGTCCCCATGGGGAAAGGAACTAAAACGGAGGCTGCTATAGCTCTGCAAGACCGAGAAAGACCATATGATGTCATCCAGCATTTCCCTCATAGTAATAAACCTGGGGCATAATGTGTACTAGTACATAAAATTCCTGTCTCCTTATGAAATATTGGGGGTGTAAATAAGGAGTTAG